ACCAAGAGCTTGCAACAACAATTCTCGCATCTCCCCAAATTGGGTGGTTAGGTTGTCGATCCGTTGGTTTTGAGCGTCCAGATCCGCTCGAGTAATTGGGGCTGGAACATCAGCTTCACGATCACCCATGATAAGACAAGAATACCAAGACGGGAGAGACCCGCTCTGATACCACTTGACGCAGCACAAGCAAATAAGGTTTCAAACGAAAACCTTGAGTAACAAGAAAACTGGAATCCACCAGAAATTAAGAGAAACTCTCTTTGATTAATTTGATTAAAATCTGAACTGCCAAAAAACGTTAGACGAACCCGTCTAAATACACAACTCTCAACCCTTGTAACTGCTAGGGGAGTTATTACAAATAAAACTGAACAACAGAATTAATTCGGAGACTTAACTACGTAACTCCGAAACTGAAAAAAACAGAATTTATTTTGGGAATTAACTATGTAACTCCGAAACGGAAAAACATAATTATTTTGGGAATTAACTATGTAACTCCGAAACGGAAAAACAGAATTTATTTGGAATTAACTTCGAACTTCGAATGCAGTTTTGAAAGGCCAAACGACTCACCACGTCCCTTTTCTTGCTCAACCGTGATTAAATCTGCCATCTGTTCTACATCAGTTACGGATTTGATGGCAATATTAATATATACAAGTTATGTAAAATTAAAGATAATTTGAGCAAATAATAGCATGAGATGTCATGAATCTAAATGAATTATGCAAAATCGAGATCAAGTTTGAACAGTTGATCTCAAAGACATGTACACCACTTGACTTATGCAAAGTAACAAAAGCTGCCAAAGATTTGACATGACCACAATAGTTTGTTTGCCTTCTATGAAAACATACCCGAAGCCATGCTTTCAACCCCAAAACAAGGTGCTATTGTTGTTTTGGTGACAAAGCCGGCCCAGAAGAAGAAGACTCAAGGTTGCTGGTAAAATTGACTAATAAAAAAACAACCTCACCCGTCAGTTTTATACACAATTCCTTCTTTCCTATAACAACCCAATTTTCAAACCCTACTACGAATGGGTAAGTTTTATTTGTTTCGTTTTTTTTTTGGCAGTACGAATGGGTAAGTTCGTGTTTCTTAGCCCTTTCTCCTTTGCATTGGTCTGACATTGAAGGCCCAAAAGAAAACGCATAAATGAGTAACCCAATCAAATTCTGAGTCGAAATTGACTCTCAAGTTTTTATGTTCGATTGATCATAATGTAATTAACATTTTTTCACGACAAAGAGGCATTCCAATATATAAGTCCATGGAGACTGGAATATCATGACATTGGATTTTTAGACATTTGGTTAGCTATGATCTTTTCCAGATCACTGTCCAATACACACAACACAAATTGAAACTAGGGATAGAAACTAGGAAACTGGAGTAAAATTATTAATTACCAATTTAGTTGAGTAAAAATTGAATATCAAATCATGACACAAGTTTGGTAGGTTTTGATGAAGGCATATTGAAGTGCATTTATACTTATGCATTTAATTGTCCTAATTTCTGATTTTTCACAATAATTTTTTTTTTGGATGCATTTTTCTGGAAAATTGGTGCACCTAATTTCCTGGAATAGTATGTAGTTTTTATTGAGTGGACCATGTGGCTTTTTTTTCTTTTCCATTTTTCGTTTGAAAAGAGGCTGTGAGTTGCACATCCATTTAATGCTTAGTTATGACTCTCAGCAGGTCTCTCTCTATATCACATTAGATGTTTCATATCTCTTGCCTATAAACATATGCATAGTGAGACTAATTGAGGGAGAGAGAGAGAGAGAGAGAGAGAGAGGCAAAGGCTGAGAAAGAGGTGAAGAACATATATATATTTTGTTTCTTAGGAACTCTCTTTTCATTTCATTTTGACCAAAAAAACACTGAAACATCTCTTTGTTTTGCTTGTTCACAGATATGGAGTCCTCTAAGCAGATATGTTACATTTGTAAGAACACTTTCCATTTAATGAATGGGCTGTTGGAGCATGGGAAAACTGTTCATCGTGAAATAATGAATGGGCTTTTGCACTCAAATTTCCTCTCATATATTTCACGATGAATGGCTTTCCCATGCTCCAGCAGGCCATTCATAAAATAGAACGTGCTCTTACAAAGGTAACATATCTGCTTAGAGGACTCCATCTGTGAACATGAAAAACAGAGATGTTTCAGTGTTTTTTGGGTCAAAATGAAATGAAAAGAGAGGGTGCAAAAGCTGCAAAAAATCTTCTTCAACAAAATGACAAGAATCAGCACAAATGTTAGCCGGCTGGCATGAGATGGGTATGTATTCGTCGTCTAAGTTTGTCTTAGGTTTGATAGTTTAGTGTGGTGGATATAAGATAATGGCAGAGAGGGTGTGGTTGGGTGGTTGGGGTGGTGTTCTAGTGGTTGAAGTAAAGTAGTATAAATGGTTGGGATGTGTTAACATTGATTGTATTGTTTGTTCATGGGGGCTTCAATACTGCCCTCCAAGTAAATGGTTCAGCATGACCGAATTTATCAGAACTGAAACATAATATTTATGGTTATCTGTTTGTGTTTGTGTTTGTGTGCGTGCATATATCGAATTGAAACTGGACAATTTGTTTCTAGTTTACTTCTTTTGATCTATAATATACCCATTACTTAAAACGCTTGAATTAAAAATTCAAGCATACCACCCATGTTCGATTTTTGAACTCACACTGTCACACACACTAGAAAATTACAAACCAAAAGAGTCAACACCCAGAAAGGCAAAGAAAAAGAATAATCTGATCGAGCTTCCGAGGCATGGAGTCCCTCGCAGAGCGAAAGGTGAAGGGATGGTGCTCTTGTTGCTCTACAATTAATATTAGCCTTCCTCTTCGTCTGTCTTAATTAAACATTAAACTGCTCTGCTCCAAAGCCGAAAATACGATAGCACCATTGACTGCTCTGCTCTGTATTAAAGGGATGATGCTTTAAATTGTTTACTTTTTTTTCTTTAATAAGGAAGTTATTGAAAAAGACCTATTCTAGAGCAACAAGAACGCAAACAAGAACAAGAGTTTGAAGCTAAAGAGCACCAGTGATGAGTGAAGTGACCACGAATGTTCAAGGTTAGGTTAGGACCATATTAATTCTACATCTTCCATCCTCATCATTTCTCACATAGTTTCAGTGAAATTTGATACCATTATTTCCACAGTAAAAATCTTAGCTTACACTTGTTCACGTATTTACATATTCAGTTCATCCATATTCCTTATGCATGAGAGAAATAATATGGTACGGATTTGGGTCAAAACTGGACACTTCATCAAATCCCAAACCAACTTCCATGATTTCCACACTCTGAAATCCTCTCATTTTGCACTTATTGATGCATTGCACTTTTATGAAACTTGAATCACTGCCAGATTTTTGTATGCATAATCTAGTAATTTGTATACGGATTATATTTCCACAATGGTTTTGTATATGTCTTTAATCAAATTATATCGATTTTACTTGTATCGTTGCGGAAAATATAAAAACACCAAATATCTAAAAGTGCAGTTACAAGTTCAGAAAATAAGCAAATTACTTAAGAACCACTGACTGAAAAATTAAGGAAAAAAAAAGAGAGACGAGAACAAGCTTTCACAACGGAAATTGAAAATTTTGGCACAATCCAAATTGGGGTGGGTCGATTAGTCAACTTCATTATGGTCATAGCATCTTCTGAAAAATCGTTTTTCCTGCAATTTTTATTGCAAATCAAGGAAATTGTCATCCATCATGTTGTATAAATTCCATGTACCTTTTTTGGCAGTGTGAATCAAAAGCATGAGAAAAGGATGTCTTTGATTATCTTTTGCTACACAATACCATGACATACAAATAACACTAAACCGATATAGTTTGATGGTGACACTAATCTCTTTAAAATTGAGTACAAAAGGTCGTTAGGCATATTTGCCCAATCTGAGAAGATGAAAAAGAAATTCAATTAGAGAGATCATATTTATGTAAAATACATATTATATAATGGACAAATTGTAACACCACATAATGCTTTGTACGATACATAATGAATCGGGATATCATGTCATTCATCTAAGTGAAGTATGCAAAATAAAGATCAAGTTTGAACAGAGATGTACGTAATTTGATGTGCATAATTAAGATATATCATAATACCAAAAACTGAGATGAACAGAATAGTTTGTTTTAAAGAAAACATACCTAAAGCCATACTTTCAAAAACGTGACGATAAGATTTTGTTATCTTGGTGAGAAAGACGGGAAGATGAAGATTGCATGTTGCAGAAGATTTTGTTATTTTGGTGATTATTTTTCTGGTCAAAGCGTATGAGAAGGAAACAAATTACTTAATTTCGTTATCCTCGTGGAGTCGTGGTATTGGTAACTCCTTAATGGAGAAGGATTATAGAAAATTAGATCAACATTCAAAACCAGTAGGGTAGGAATTAAGCATAAATCAATGCAACATCAGCCCCTAAAGATGTGGAAATACCAAACAATTCAAATTTTATCTGCGTGTGAATTTTATGTCAAATGTCATCTGCGCCACTCTTGTTTCTTTTTCCTTTCCTCATTCCCATCTAGCTTTTGTCCGCGAAATTAGCGAATTAACAATTCATTCCCTTTGTATCTCACTAAATAAATAAATCAGTTGTCCATGGTCTTTGTGATAAATCAAAATGTAATTAGTGTTTTTTCACGACAAAATCCTTTTGCATTTATGGCTAGATCCACTCGTGCAGCTTATTATGAGAGCGAGAGCCAGTCAAATATATAAGTCCATGGAGATGGGAGTAACCTGACATCTGAATTTTGAAGGATTTGGTTAGTCATCATGATATATATATATATTTATGTTTATGTTTTCAGTTTTTACTGACTGGTATTTGACTAATGTAAACCAATTTCACTTTGAAATGGGCAGCAAGTGCTTTGCAGCTGGGAGAAACGGAGTATTTTCCTCTGTAAATAAATTCTGCATGAAACGGTGGTGATGGGAAATAATATGCAAACTGCCTATTCAGATGAAGACCAAGTGTTTAACACGTACGTTTATGGTGAACACAACACTCCCATGGCCATATGGCCTCCTCCTCCAAATCAGGTACTTCATCAAAATAAAATTAAAATAGAGATGAAAAAGATTATCGGTATATGCTGCTGCTGCTGATTATATATATGTATACGATATACAGGAGGTACCAATTGTTGCTTTTCAGAACGATGAAGCTCTGGCTATAGCCCTGCATTTGGAGGAAATGGGGGATGACTTTCAGAATTTGTCCGTGGAAGAAGCACCCCGTTGGGTAATATTAATCACTTTATTTTCTCTTAATTAGGATGCTCTTCTTTTCTATAGATAATAATAATAATTGGTTTTCTTTTTTCTTTTTTCCTGTGCTAAAAATGCAGGCTGGAAACCAAGATAATGTGGATCCAGATGGGATGAGTTATGAGGTAGGTCCTCCACCAGCGAACAGGGCCGGCCTCCTTATGAAAATCTATATATATATATGCAGTGTTAACGTTATAATATATATGTGTCACTGGCAGGAATTGCGGAGATTAGAAGAATCTAGTGGCAGTGTAAGCAAAGGGCTACCAAAAGACGTTATTTCCCGGTTACCATCTCATAAGTACAAGCCACCACCAAAGAAAAAGGGAAAATCTACAGATGAAAATACAGAGTAAGAGTTTCTAATTCATGTCATGTGTTTTAATGTATATGCAGAAATACATACAAAAATAATAATAGATGGTGTTTGTGTTGGTTGAATAATGAATATATTACATAAAGCTGCGCAATATGTCTGATGGAGTATAAAAAGGGAGAGCTGCTCACCCCTTTGCCCTGCTTGCATCAGTATCATGAGAAATGCATCAAAACATGGTTGGCAAACGAGAAGGTGTTTTTCTTTTTCCAATCTCTTTAATTTCATGCTTCTTCTGTCTGTCCTTTGTTATATAACTAATATTCTCTCTTTTAAAGGCTTGCTGCATCTGCAAAAGGGAGGTAAGCCTTGACTAGACCCATGGATGCTTGCCTTGCATGGAGGAAATTACAGTCGCTGCCCGCTCCAAAAACATTTATTTTCAAACTCTTTTTTATAATTTTTTGTGCTCTGAACTTTAGATTAAATCCATTATATATATGTACTCATCATATCAATAAAAGTTTTTATATTTCGATAAATAAAAAAGCGTACATACACACGCCTAGTGAAATAGAATTGGAATCCACTCATGGATCAGCAGTGGCCCTGTCGCCCCAAAGCTTCAAACACATGTATAATAACATGCCATTGCATATACATAATGCAAGAAAACTCTCATATTTACATGAGTGACCTCTTCAAATATATATATGGTATGTGAAATTTGTTAAACCCAGAGTAAAAATCAATCCAACTAAAGCTTGTATGTATTATATTTTGGCTCTCCAAATTTGAAATTCTAACTCCACCCTTGAGAATCATGTGCGTGATGTCAAATACCAATCCTCATATCATATATATATATATATATATATATAGGGGGACATTATAAATTAGGCGGCAAAGACTTTCTTATAATTCTCTTTTTTCAACTGATTTTCAAGACCTAATTTCTTTCTTTCTTTCTTGCTCTCTCTATCCAAATCATTTTTAGAAATTAGGATTAGGATCTGTTTGGGCCAAAAATTGACACATCCAGCCCAAGGCCCATCAGAACAAACAAAGCTGAGTTGGGCCTCACATGCCCAACATAATAGGAAGAGGGAGTCCAGACCAGAAGAGGGAACAATCCCACATGGCAGCCTCTGGGATAAAAGTCAGCAGGGATGAAAAGTCAGCAAAGGCAGCCTCTGAAATGAAAAAAGTCAGCAATAACAACTGCCATAGAAGAAGTGACTGAAGGGTTCGTGACATCAAGAAGAACTGAAGATTAAGTCCCCCTTATATATGTATATACAGAGATTTTTTCTGTCTTTACAGAGAAGGTAAATCTCCCAAGATAGATAAGCAGGTTACAATCTCAGAGAGGGATAAGCAGGAAAGCAGGGAGCTGTCCAGAAGGGGCAGCTGAAAAACAGGGAAGTGATCACCTATCTGAGAGCCTATCTGCCAGAATTGAAGAAGAGGAGGAAAAGGGGGGAAAATATCTTTGCCGCCCAATAAAAAATCAGTTCTGCCTAAAAACAGTTTAAATTCCATCAGTTCTGCCTAAAAACAGTTTAAATTCCATCAGTTCTGCCTAAAAACAGTTTAAATTCCATCAGTTCTGCCTAAAAACAGTTTAAATTCCATCAGTTCTGCCTAAAAACAGTTTAAATTCCATCAGTTCTGCCTAAAAACAGTTTAAATTCCATCAGTTCTGCCTAAAAACAGTTTAAATTCCATCAGTTCTGCCTAAAAACAGTTTAAATTCCATCAGTTCTGCCTAAAAACAGTTTAAATTCCATCAGTTCTGCCTAAAAACAGTTTAAATTCCATCAGTTCTGCCTAAAAACAGTTTAAATTCCATCAGTTCTGCCTAAAAACAGTTTAAATTCCATCAGTTCTGCCTAAAAACAGTTTAAATTCCATCAGTTCTGCCTAAAAACAGTTTAAATTCCATCAGTTCTGCCTAAAAACAGTTTAAATTCCATCAGTTCTGCCTGAAACAGTTTAAATTCCATCAACCATTTTGGCCAGAGCAGCCTGTTTATACTGAGATAAATTGTTAAAGTCCTCACCAGTCTGAGGCGAGAAAAGAACTTACTTGGGAGATATTCCTCACCCAAATTCACAATCGTTTGTTTGCAGAAATCAGTAACTTGGGGCGCAAGTTATCTACTCCAAACTAAGTCTGCTAGAATTTTTATTGCTAGCAGTGGCACGCTCGCACACCAAAGAAAGCTGACTTGTCGACCAGTTTATGGTTCTCAAGGCAGTGGGGAACTTTGCCCTTCCATCACAGGAGTGAACGCAAAACGGGCAAACAGGATCCCATATGAATGAATGGATGGTCTGTATTTTGTCCTGATGCTGACTCAGCGCCAAATCGTACCTAGCTAGGTGAGACTGCTTACTACTCATATAGACATGATTCATGTGAACAAGTGGATGATGTCCTCACTTGCTATATTAAACTCTCTTTTTCTTTTTCATTTTATTAATTATATTAATGTCTCTTATAGTTATAGCTAGTTTATTTCTGTAATGCATGCTTTATGATTTCTTTATCTGCAGAGCCTTGAAACACAATTAATTTGACAGAGCATGAGGGAGGGACCAAGCAGTCCCTACCTTTAGGAAACAAATTTATATTAATTCATGTGTTTAGCACACTACTAGAAATATTAATAAAGTTTCCTAACTCAACGATTCATTTAAAAGAAGGGGGCCCCGGGCTTTCCTTTGACTTTGGATCTCCTTAACCTAACATTATTATACGAACATAATTTCTTCAAAGCATGTGGTTGGATTTGATTTAAATTCACACATTTTACCAATTTTATTTTCATAGCACAAGGGCCAAAACACAAGTCTTCACGGTCGGTACATAAATGCAAATTAATCAAGCACAATCATTCAAAGGTCGAAAAGCATAAAAATCTTTACCCATGTGGAAAACATTTGCTACCTCTCTCTCTCTCTCTCTCTCTCTCTCTCTCTCTCTCTAGGTGTCCAAAAAATTAATTATCACATAACGTGCAGATTAGCCATGCGTAGCTCCGATTAATAAATCAAATTAATAAAAGGAATCAATGGAGTTTAATCATTTTGTTAATGGTACGTGAAAACCACACTGGGCCACACGAGGGAGAAAGTAGGGCAGATAAAACATGAGACTTACTTTAATTTAATTTTGGCCATGTGCAACCCTGATTGCTAAGCAGTTTTTGCTGCAAACTTCTTAACAACTAAATCTCATTAGGGCATTTTGTGGATTCTAATTTATAATAATAATACAAAGGTTACCCAAGCCAATCAATATTAATCCCAAATATTTCCATTATATCCAGATAGTCCCACTACAGTTTTGTCACATATATTCTCAACAACACTTGGACTTCGGTTTTAAAAATCATTTTTAACTTTCTTTTTTTTATGTCGAAAATTCATTTTGAACTCATACTTTGTTTTTCCTTGGTGTATTAGTATTTGGTGCTATCCAAGTCTCTCATCTATATGAATGAATCTGATGCTCCACTACCATGCACTAGGCTATGTTTCTATACATGCCCCCTATAAATATATATATACTAGAATATAACATATAATAATTCCCAATTTGTGACAAAAAAGATTTATATTCCTATTAATTCCATGCACTCTATCTCATACTTTTGCTGAAAACTCACAGGTTGCCTAATGCCCATGCCAATGACTTTCCCTCCTCCTTATACATGAAGAAAATGGTAGGGACTGCTCCAAAATCAGCAATCTCATCTCCTCCCCTTCCTCCTTCTCGTCAGCAATATATCCTCTATCACCTCCTCCTCTACCTTTGAATCAAACTACTCTATATACCATACTCATAAATTTGGTTGTATATGGGGACCGGTTTCTCTTTCTTTCTGAGGGAAACCAGTACTGGATTATTAGGTTCTTCTTCTCCTCCAGCAAAACCTGGTCTTGGAGACTTACCAGAGAGTTGTATCTCATCCATCTTTATGTACTTGGATCCGCCGGAGATTTGTAAATTGGCACAGATGAACAGGCCTTTCCGCGCTGCTTCTTTGGCTGATTTTGTTTGGGAGTCAAAGCTGCCATCAAACTATAAGTTTCTTGTCGACAAAGTTCTTGATCATGAAAATTTGCCCAAGAAAGAGATTTATGCTAGGTTGTGCCAGCCCAATCGTTTTGATGGTAGCACCAAGGTACCCCCAAAAGCCATTTTACTTTTATTTTTGAACTTGTTGATGTATGTAATTTATGTAATAACATTGCTGGTTTGTTTTCCTTACAGGAAGTTTGGCTGGACAAGAGTTGTGGGCAAGTTTTCTTGTCCATTTCGTCCAAGGCATTGCGAATAACAGGAATAGATGATCGAAGATATTGGAGTCATATTCCAACTGAGGAAACAAGGTACCTAGCTAGCTACTCATCACAGTTTCAATTGGACCACAGAGATTAATTCAACTCCTAGATTCTGTAAGAATTAGCATAAACACCTAAAAATAATGACTATATATGAAATGAACCTTAATTATATGTGTAATTAATATTAAGTAACACGGGTTTTTGTTTTCTGATATGCGTAATATATAGATTCCACACAGTTGCATATCTTCAACAGATTTGGTGGGTTGAAGCTCTAGGTGAACTAGAATTTGAGTTTTCCCCAGGGAGCTATAGCCTATACTTCCGGCTTCAGCTAGGCAAAACCTGTCCAAAAAGATTTGGCCGACGAGTATGCAACGTCGATCAAGTCCATGGCTGGCACATCAAGCCCGTCCGCTTCCAGTTATCAACATCAGACGGCCAGCACGCTTTATCAGAATGTTATTTGCATCAACAAGGCAGTTGGGTTCATTACCACGTGGGTGATTTTGTTGTCATCGACAACCACAAGCCTATGAAGATCAAATTTTCAATGGTCCAGATTGATTGTACACACACCAAAGGCGGTCTCAGCTTAGACTCTGTGTTAATATACCCAAGCAAGTTTAGGGAAATGTTAATATGTAGGTAGATGGATGGTCTATGTAGATCGCTAGGGTAGGGTAACATGTGTAAATAATATAAGCACTTGAAATGAAGAGAGGACTGAGGAGGAGGAGGAGGCGGCAGCTCTAACCGAAAGCTTGCAATTTGCTGGGTTTGGAATCTTAAAATAGTGAGTGGTGGGTGGGTCAGAATCAGATGTATGTTTACATTTGAAGCAAAGTAATGTCATGTGCATGTCTTTTCCATGTTCGTTTGTCTTTCAATGCGAATGGGGTTCTTCAAAACAACACGAGAGAATAAAGTTTGATTGCCGTTAAGAACTCAATTCTAATGGGACATGCCGTTAAGAACCCATCTTTACAATGGGGACTACGGGATAAACATTTGTATTCTAATCAATCCAATTATATTCTAAACACGGGTTACAGAGATCAAATTGGTGATTCCAAGACGGGGTTACCGGGTTGAAATCATCTTGTTCGTCCAGCTAAACTAAATGCAATAGATATGCAGAAACACGGGAGTGAAATATGTGAATATCATATTACGGGGAAACAAAAGCTGTTCTCAAGAGTTTTTTATCCAGTAGATTACACTTGCAAGACATGGAGACAGAAAACCCTCAGGAAAAAAAAAAAAAAACACTAAACTCCTACCGAACTGAACTACTCAAGTACAAATGCGCAATGTCACAACAAATTCCATACTGAGACAAAAGAGAAAAAATAGAAGGGAGTAAAACAGCTATTTTAAATTGTCCTGTACAAAGATATATGCTGGCCACATACCCAATGGGAGCCAATTAGGCCAAATTATGTTAGTCACGCCTTCCAGCCATAGCCCATATTATCGTCTAGATCGCTGTTAAAAAAACCGTTTTCTGTGAATTCATGGGCGATGTCCGGTACCATATCCTCCTGCAAGTGAAGGTTTGAGGGTAAATCAGATGCTCTCTGGTTGTATGCATTGTTACCTCCACCTGCCGAAGAGTCACTGTTTGCAGCAGCTTTGAAGCTATTACTCCTGCTTGGCGCAGGGCCATGACCTCCGGAGACATTGGAGGTGGCTGGAGTTGCCGCTGGATTGTTGCCTCCAAAACTCAATCCACTCCTTCCCACACTCCCATTTGCATTTGGACCAGAAAGAGATTGTTGTCCACCTCCCCCACTGTTATTGGACATCTCCTGTAGCAGTTGCTGGATCACCTGTTGCTGCAAGGCCTGGTTTCCTTGGGAGCTAGGTGAATGGTTTTGTGGTAGCAAGCTATTAGAACTAAGTGAGCGCTGCTGCATCTGGTGCGGCTGTCGCGAGGGTAAATGGGGACTTGACAAACCACTACCGGGTAAGTTCTGCATGGATCCAGGGATTAAAGCAGAAGCACCTTGGAATGTTGACGATGGGCTATGGTTGGAATTATTGAAGGAAGAAGATGCCTCCTGTTGAAGAGAGTTTGCATTTGAATTCATTGAGTTCTGCCTCAAGAGCAGATTCTGGTAAGTAGTCAGTTGCAAAGCAGCTTGTGCTGAACCACTCATAGCTCCACGATTGACCATGTGATGGTTATTATTGATTTGGTTATTCATCCCAGGATGCAATGCCATTAGCTTATTGAGAGTGTTCCTGTCAGTGGGCATACCCTGAGCACTTGCTAACTGCTCCATTTCCTGCATCTTTTGCATCTGGAGCTTGGCTGCAGTGGCGTGCCGAGGATAGACCTTCAAGCCCTCTGCAATTGTCAACATAAGATCAAAGTAAACAAATCATTATGAATACAACAGTCATAATAGTTCTTTCTAGCCAGATCATTTAATATGCAACTCAACCAATCAACGAACAGACATACTAAACTCCACAAAAAATAAATACCACAACAATAAACCCCTATAAATGGGGTCAGCAGTACCAAATTCTTCATTGCATTAAATTTGTTGACTTTAATGAAATATAAAGGCCAAACTGAAACATAGAAACAATGGAGAAACTACTTCCTACAGGAAGGGATAGGACAGCTGCGGTGACAAGGGACCAACTCAAAGGTCAAATCTACTATATCCTCAAGACTTACTTCAAATCTCCATTAAGTCAAAATCTATATCCTCAAGACTTGCTTCAAATCTCTATTAATTTAATTAACATAAACCTCAAGAATCATACAGGTTTAGCTGGAAATTGAAGGACATCTTCATTCCACGAGATGATGCTTAACCCAAGGAATGACTCAATAAAGCTCAAACACTAGCAAGTACGTATCAGTTGTATAATCATGCCACGGTTTGGTTAAGAAGTTGTCTAAGATAGCACTGGCACAGAATTAATCCCAGAAAACAGTACCAAGAACATGATTTGACCATCCATGCCAAGCAGCAGCAGAGTTACAAAATGACAAGAATGGAAAAACAGGAAATTACCGATAGGCCCAACTTTGTTCTCCCTGCAGAAGTCAATCAAGTCTTTCATGCTATTGACAACCTCTGAGATCTGTTAAAAGTTGGCAGTCAGCAACTAAAATAAAACTCGGAATGAAAAAATTTAACTGAAGTATACTTCTTAAATTCAAACACATGTCCATAAATTCAATAGCATATACCTGCAAACACCTCACATATCTTTTAGAAAAACCCAAATCATTCAATGACTGCAACTCCAAACTCTTTGCAAGCTGCCGCCCAGCTGTCAGTACCCTGAAGAAAGCAATAAACATCAGTGCAACCCTACTTTGAAGAGGATTTAAAGTCAAATACCCAACTGCTCAACAAAAGCAGTTCACTGATCCCTTCATAAACTCACATATTGCTGTTTGTCTGTAGATCCTGCTGAGATATCCCATCAGATCCACTTTCAGCAATTGTGCTTTGGCATTTCTGAGCAACTTGAACCAACTGATTCACCTAGAGAAAAGAAAGCTTCATAAGTTGGAGTTATAAAGTCTGTACCCAATCTTATCTATTTTTATTTTCTGCTAACAATTTGATCTATTTCATTATATTTGAACCACTGACCAAAACATAAAGCTATTAGAAAAGGTTCTCAGCCGTACAAGTATAATCAAGCTCAGTGGAAAACAATCATACCAAGAAATTACACCGGTATTACCATTTTAGAGTGGCTTATGACATTCCCATGAAAGCTTTTGACAGAAAAAGGCCAGATTTATTACTCTCTTGAGTGTCAGCAAATTTTTTCCTAGATTCTAGAATTGCACATTTCACATAACAAATGAGCTAAATCACTGAATATCGTTCAGTCACTGTATTCCACAATTACCAAAACTCAAAACAAAACGGTACAAATCAAAATTAATGATAAGAAAGGGCATTGTGCTATTTGCTTATACATACATCCAGTAAAATGCATGGGTCAACCAAATAAAAGCAAAACTTAACAAGAGACACAAAACAGTACCTGCGGCGCAACCAACCTACGAGGAAGAAGTTCTTCATGGCGTCGTGCACAGAATTCCCAAGACAATATCTGAAAATGCATAAAGTAGAAAGTTAGAAGCATACCAAGAAATAAACACCAACAACCAAATGAAGAATTTTTACCTACCTTTAAATCTTGCGTAAAAATTATACGAAGCTGACCCTCCCGAACAACACGAAGTTGCTCGTATACACTCTCTTGAACTGCTTTCCCATACTCCAACATCATTACACCAGAAGGAAATCTACATTCACGTGGCAAGTCCAAAAACAAAAGTTCATCGATGACTCCACTACCAAATTTGATCTCATTAAGTCTAGGGAGCACTTCAAAGGTTGCCTCTGTAACCATGTCCATGAAACTAATTAGTTAGAATCAACATCATAAATATAAATATTTCAACCATTTTGAAGAGGTAATGCCATATGATATCCTTAAGCATATCTAACTTACTAGAACAAAAGTTAAACCATGAGGAAAAAAGAGAGTAAAATAATACAGATTGTAAAGAGGACTAGATAGTAGAAGATTAAATAAATAAAATGAGTGTACTCTTTGACTTTGATGTATCCATCCAAGCAAAAAGCACAAGACTGGTGCAAGAAGCACCATAAGAAAAATAAGGGGCAAAAACCCTTTCTTACCAAAACCCCTTCCAGATTTAGAACCGCAAATGTCGCATTGCCACGCATCCTGGCCAAAAAAGGAAGAAAAGATTCACATGTGAGAACCACAAACGCATATTCAAGAAGGGCAGATAACAAAAAGACAAATTAAATAGGAAATTCAACGTACGAAGATTCAATTATAATGGAAGAATTAACCAACACATAAACTAACCATAGCAGCCTGAGGGAAAACGCCAAGTGCATGATGCCCAACATTATCATATAATGACAAACACCATCTTTTCTTAGCACGAGGCGAGTAATACTCTGTCACAAACTTCCTCCAATAGGCAATACTATTGTCCTGTAAAAAATTTAAATTCACACATAATTTGATAAACGTTACTCATGGAATTACCTCAAGTGAACAGAAAAGTAAACGTTGCGATTTGGAATTTTAGATACACTAAGAACAAGAATGTGTGAATAAGATATTATTAGGAAAGGGAATGCATATATGAAGGAAAAAAAACATCTGAAAGGGAACCGGTAAAAAAAATTGCCAAATGAAATGAAACAAACAAGGAACTCACAGAAGGCCGTTGCCGCTGATGATATAGATATTGCATCAGTCTACGAGCACAAACGCCACCATCATAGGGGCGCTTAACGGAAGATACTGGCTGCAAAGATTGTTGTTGAAGTTGTCTCAACTGCAACTGATGTTGTTGTTGTTGTTGCTGTTGCTGCTGCTGCTGCTGCTGCTGCTGCTGCAACTGGGCTCTCTGCAGTTGAGGCATAGACTGCAAAATCTGATGCTGTTGCCGCAATCTCTGCTGCTGAAGCAAGGCTTGTATTTGTGGATTTCGGCCTTGGAACTGCATGGGATCTTGCCTTTGCAGTAGCTGCTGTAACACCTGCTGCTGCAACATATCCTCCTGCTTGATATCCAACCGGGGTTTTTTTTGGACGTGGGCCAAATTATTTGGATCCTGAATAAAAGCTCCAGGTACTCGCGCCCCCATGGGAAGGGAAACCTGGCCAGTTTGAGACGTGGCTAATGAAGTAGCACTAGAAGCCCCTTGCTGCCGCGGGTGCTGGTGCTGCTGATTCTGCTGGATTTGTTGAGAGTTGTGATCATGCTGAGAATTTTGTTGCACTACGGAAGACCCATCCATAATTGATGACCCTGACATGCTAATGTTGTTGGATGAGAACGACATGGGTGAGGCTGGTAAGCGTAAGTATGACTCTGTATTGATGCTTGCACTTCTCTGCAAATGGGGACCGCCTGAAAGTACAGAGTTCGCATCTGTGACCAAAGAACTTGCCCCAACACTTGGACCTGAGTTTGCCACACCGCTCAAAACTGCATTATTCATGTCCCCAGAAACCGGACCCAGATTTGAACGCCCAGTTCCAGGAATGGAATTAGAAGAGTTCCCGAAAGATGAGCTCAAGTGAGAGTTAACTACAAGCTGAGACTGCCCATCCCCTTGGAAGAAAATTCCAGAACTTGATGAAGATTGCGCTAATCCTCCAGCCACCCGAGAAGGCACCATAGGAGGCACCGCCCTTTGGTGGCCAGAGTCTAAGTAGCTCTCCAGAGCCAGGCCTGACTTAGTATTTTTACAATAATTAATATGCTCAACCCACTCAATCAAAAACAGAACAAATAAGTATTCTTCTAAAAGAAACAAAAGCTCACAAATATATTACGGGCGGTGTCACCAGTACAAATACAGACAATTTCAGTATCCCCACCTCACTGTGTCACTAATATCCCCAATTATTCGATAAATATGCGACCAAATTGGTGCACAATATTTATATTCTGTATGAGCTTTCAACAATTTCTCATGGGGATCTAAGATAAACAAGAGGAAACAACACTATCAGCAGTAGAACGAGAAAATTAAAAACAGAAACTAAACTAAATTCCAAACTAATATTAACCAGATAAGTAAAGTAAAGACTAACAACTATCAAAGAAATAGACCCAAACCCAAGCCCTGGGGTTCGAAAGTGTTAATCTTCTAGTTAGCCCCACAAAACCCTAATTTTTAACCGAGCTACCCATTAGACAATGTCATAAGCTTATGAGCCGTGAAGCCATCATTTATAGAGGATCTAAACGCAACTCAGTTCAACTGAACCGACAATTTTGAAATTAAAAAAAAATAAAGGAAGGGAGACGGGTTTAGCTTAATTTTTATCAAAGAGACTGAGAATCATAGACAAAGATCGAACCCAAAGTAGCTCGATTTGAAGAAGAAACTATAACTATAACAATCCGCAAACAAAATAACACTAGTAGAAGTCTTAATTAAGCAGAAGAAGAAGAAGATCGAAACGCAGCAATGAAATTTGAAAGATAGCTAACAAAGAAAAAGAGTGAGCTTTTTGCAGTCCAGAGATCGATCAGAGCATAATATAATTAACCAACACGATTAATTAACTGGTGGGAAAAAAATTGGAGCAAACATTTTAAAAGAAACAGAATTAGATAAATGTACGGCCGCTACTGACCTCAGAAATCGGGAGCTGTAAAAAGCGAAACGTTTCCTTTTCTCGCTTAATTTGGAAAACCGAAATTTGCAGAGAGCAATAGAGAGAGAAAGAGAGAGAGACGGAGAGAAGTAAAGAGTCGAAGGACTCTGGTTATATACCTAGCGGGAATTGGAGGAGGAGTGACCGGCTGCATCGGTACCCCTCTGCCCTATATCACCGGCACGTGTCCTGTTTTAGGTAGAAGAAAGAAGTCGGTGATAGATCGCGCGATGGCGACCCGAGGGCTAGGACAACGTGGCGCGATGTTATTTGTTCATCTCTAGGTTACCTATGATGGGCAGTGAGGATAATACCTGGATTAGCCTGTAAGAGAATCGATTGGGTGCATCCAGTTCTATGCGAGTTGGTCTAGAGTCTTACCCTTCTCGGTACCCAAAACGAGGATAAATATGACATTTTGCAAGGGTATTATAGTACTTTGAAGAAAAAGCGTACAGGTGGGCCTACTGTATTGGGTGTCTCATATCCCTTTATAATGACCGAGGTTGGGTTTGGGATTGAGATTTTAGAACACCGTATAGGGTCGTTAAAGGATAGAGAGAGACCTTCGGATTGACACGTGTGACTGACACGCACAATAGAACAACGCCTCGTGTGGCTTCAGCAAGCAAACAGTAGAAAGTAGAAACTGCTTAATTAACTTGTTTCAATAGTTGTTTTTGTCTTGCACAAGTGGTTAAGACTTTAGAGGGATGGACCCTTGACTACCATTGGCAACATTGATATTGTCCTCAACTTAATCACCTATTTAGCAGATGTGAGGTTTTATACAAAATGCCTCGATATTATTAGGAGTAGAACCATTTATTATATGAGATTTTCTATTTTGTTAAGTTTCCGACGTGGGACTCGTGTATTCTTCAACATAAGCTAAATCAGTCGGTCAAGGCAATGAGTTGGTCGTTTTTATTATTGTTTGAGTCCCCCTTCCTCTAAGTTAGAGTCTCCCTTCTCGTGTATTAAATTAAATTAAAATATTATTTTATCATACTCTGAGTTAATTTTCTAAAGCAAAAAAGAAACCATAAACTAGCTTTTGCTTCTCAATGTTTAATTGAACACGCGGTGGTTCAAACGGAAGTTGCCCTGGTACTTTTTTGACTAGATTATTTGTTTGCACTATTCATATTTTCTAAAAGTAATTTAAAATTCCCACCATCCAAAAAGGAGGAAACTGATGCTCAAAAAAGAAATAAAGGCAAAAACTCATCATCATATTATATTACATTGTAAGAAATCAAATCGGGCTTTGTAAATTTGGGCCGACATTATTTTTATTTTATTTTTTTGTTCCTTAATTTATGGTAAGATAACACATGTAAAGCCCAGTCCAATGGCAAGGGTATAAAAAGAAGAGAACTGAGAACAAACCTAATCGTAGGTATTTTTCATGGTCCCATTGAGGGTATTTCTGTCAATCAAAGGCAACTATCTGAAAACTGTAATATCAAATTTAATCAAAATTAAAAAGAGGGGTGGTGTGTGCCTGCCACGCGTTTGATATATGCATTAAGGGCCTTTGCTTTGGGCCATTCAAGCATAAAATTGTTTGCCTTAGATTAGATTCATGCCAGTTCAACTATAATGTTAGTTAACAAAATTTTCATTAATTCTTATCTTTTTTAGTTACAAGGGAGTCCAAATGGAGGGAGCGCTAGAGGTACAAGCCCCTACAAAAAATCTTCCTTCTTTCTCTTCTGCTGTTTCCTTTCAAATTAAAACCATATTCTTTTGAATTTGCATTTAGAGGATGACAGGAACTCTCTATATGCGGTTGAGGTTTAACATCAATGAGATTGAAGAAATTAAACATGGATGTTTATAAAAATTTCTCCAACCCATACACCAGGTTCTGCAATAAGAAGACATGATAATCAGTATCGAATATCGATTGAAGCATGATGATTGAAAAATTTAAGAGATGGTTACCTTAATGCGCACAATCTTTCTAATTGCTAGGAGAAGGCCTGGCATGAGACATTGCACATCTGTGATGTCATGTTTCAGAGAGTAAACCTGTGGAAAGCAAAGTTGTTCAAGCCAATACTTACTCAAATGAGAAGAAATGAGTAAGCCCAGAAACATACCTCTCCTACACGAGAAAAGTAAACCGTTGTGCTGGCAGGAAGCCCTGGAAGGACTAAGCTGTGCACACGAACTCCATCTTCTCCCAGAACTTGGCCCCTTGCCTTGTGTCATAAGATTAATAATAATGAGTTCCAAACTTCCATTCCAATCCAAGGCATCAACTATAAAAGCAAGTTCTGTACTTGGGCTTACTTGAACATCTGTTGAAATATCCTCTCTGTTGTAAATCTGGCCAAGGTTAGACAAGTTGTTGGCAATTTGGGTTGCATCTGATGATGGAAAATCCTGTTTCCCAAACACAGCTTTAGCATATCTTCATGACCGAGTTTGCAAATTTATTTAAAGAGTAACGGAGTTTACCGTTGCAGTTGCCCTTGATTCGACGATTTCTACATTGTTGTAGTGGAAGGAAGCTGAAATTGCAGCTTGTTGTAGAAGTATAGATCCAATGGATAGAGTTGGTGCAACAAGACAACCCTGAACAAAGTAGCAGCTCCATTATCAGTGAGAAACTCAATGTTACAAGGAAGTGAAAAAGAAAAGCACATAAACTTGTGAAAACTTATTGCATGACATCTCACTCTCTGCTCACCATGCTGGCTTTCTCACAGAAAGCAGACAATGCTGATACTGTTTCTAACTTAATCTGAGGCACATAAACCACACTTCGCATCCCAAATGCTGTTGCCTAGTAACAAAGAAAGTTTTAATTAATGTTTCATACTAGGCATGGAAACTGAGAAGCAAAAACTTACATGAATTAATGTGGCTTTTTACCTGTTTTACATTGTCATAGACTTTGGAAGGCTCAGTGAAATCGACAACTACCCCCAATGCTTTGGACTGCCAATTAACACAAATGGCAAGATTGAGAGAAATTAACATTGACAGAATGATCACAAACACATAGAAAAGGAGGTCATTTTGATTTTGATTGTGATTTGTTACCTGAGAAATGGAGCCTAAGACCATTGTGAGATCATTGGTTATTGGTATTTCCAGAGGCTCTTCCATGTCACACACCTACTTTGTTTGAAGGAAGGATCAAAACATCCCCGTTATATTACTGTGTTGTTACTTCAAATATACAATGTATTACAATGTAGAAAAGAGATAAATATACCTTGCCAATATCTTCTCCTACTAGATAAGAATCCACTGCACCAGCCACCTCCATCCCTCTGGCTCTAGTCACTGCAATTACAGCTGCCCTTCCTATTTCCTTTGCTGCTCCATTTATAATTACCTTGATGTTGTTCTGAGGAGGTTGCATTGAGCAAAACATGGAAGGTCTTGATTTGGCATTGGGATGTTGATAAGTCTTGCAGGCCAGAGAGTGAAATTGGCAGCTCAGGCCTACTGCCATGGCTTTTTCTCAGCCCAGCAATGTCTATGCCCAAAAGATAAGCTTTACCGTTTTCATGGTCTCTAAGATAAGGTTTTTGTTTTGTTGGTTGGTTTTGTTTGGAGGGAAATCTGTGACAAATGGACACATAGACAGGAATGCATGTTTCTCTTGGAGCTTTTCTTTTGGTCCATGTTGCCCATGTGTCCCTGGGAACCAAGCAACACATTCTAATTCTTTTTTTTTTTTTTCCTTTTTTTTGTGGTTATCACATGCTTCCATTCCTTTTGTCAAATTATTTGGATTTCCACCTATTACTATTTTTGTGGTGAATTCCCAATTTCTCCCACTAGCTAATGATGATTGGATGCTGACTGCTGACCTGTCATAAACAAATAATGCAAACCAAAAAGTCAAGGTGTCACGGTCAACACTCACGTAATTATGAATTTTTTTTTAAAGTAACGTAATTATGAATTTCTAGATTGGATTAATGGAGTTTGATTTTTCCTCAATACAAGAATTAAGCTGGTTTTTATTTTTAATAATGTTGACGAAGACTTGTTCTTAAAATTTGTATGTAAAAATAAGAAATTCTTGTGACCTCCTGTAAAAGATTAAACAATTGGCTCATTTGGGTTACCCTATGATACAGCTCAAATTAACTTACCATAAGAAGGAACCCACTAAGATAATGACAAGTAATCATTATTTAACTATTTTATCAGAGAATTAACACGTAGAATTGATTTGGGTAATGTGGATCAAAATAATTATAATATTAATCTAACGCAATTAAACAAGGTAAGCAAATGATTATGAACCTCTGACTTGGTAATGTGTAATGAGATGAGAGACACCAAGCCCAAATGACCAACCATATACCTTTCGTTCTTCAACGATGATGTTGCTTCCAACATATCACATTATACTATACCAACCTCTCTATTTATTTACCATTAATCTTTGAAAAGAAACCCAAAAAATTGGAAAAATATGAATTGATTTTTGAGGTGACAGAATTTGATAGCACACCACAATTCTCGCGCAACGTCAAAATCAGGCAAATATTGCGAAGAAAATCAGTCAGAATTTTCAAAACCCATATTGCTTGTTGAGGATGTCACGCATGAATGGAGATTGCCTCTTTAGCAAGCGTTTTTGGGCATGCCAGCCTTGCCTGCCTGCCAGCCTGCCTGCTTGCCTGCGACTGCGAGTGAGGTCCAAATCCAGTGCCCCATCATTTTCCAACACAAAAACAAAAACTTTCCTCAATGTAAATTAAAGATACAACAAACTTTGCCTTTGAATTGTTTAATTCTGGGCAGTTGGATTTTCGTTTTCAAATTAAAACATAACTAACCATTAAAGAGACCTTCCACCGCCTTTTGATTCCTATAATCAAATTTTTTTATAAAAAAAAATATAAGTAATAGTCTAACCTACGAAGAAAATGGGGTTCAAACTTGAGACTGACCCACAAGTTAAGACTATTTTTCACATAGTTAAAACCCGTTGGCAATCAAATCTCTTCTTTATATTCAAATACAATTAGTATAACCAAATGGAACGTTTTGGTAGAACCAACAAATACTAACTGCTTATTATACTCAGCCAACAACTGGAACTGCACTTAAATCGCAAGATTTAATATAACTTATTGTATTAATTAATTAGCAGAATTTTATGAAGACCCAAATCATTGGAATTAGCAAAAATGATTAGGAGTTTAGACTTTAGGCACATGCACTTTCCACGTGCCTCCATCTAATTTGGAACACCACCAACCTTAGGGTTTAGGGTTGCCTGTGGTGTGGTGTGGGACCCATAAAACTGGGCCATTTATCTTGTATGATCATTTTGCTAGTGATCCAAGACTTGCCAAATACGGGTCGAAACTTATAGCCCCTCCCTTTCCATGTTTGCCAAAACAAGTCACCAAGGCCCCAGGCTAGCAGCATGCATTCATGCTTCCATAGTTTGATACTTTTAAATGCAAATGCAACCGACTATCATTATTTTTATTCGACAAAAAATATGGTGTCTACATAATAATAACGTTTAAATGTCTACACAATGTGTGTTTGCTGTAACTACATGCATATTCTATACTTTTAACTTTACCACTATGAGTTAGGGGTAGGTTTTGGTTCTTCTTCCTTTGTGTTTTTAATTATATATTTTGGTAAGTATTAAGAAAAATATAATTCTTCATCTTCTTTAAAAACAAATACACAAAAAGAACAATTGTGTATGTTTGTCACGTGCTTCATAATTCCAAGTCTCCCACAGAAATTCTATAAAACCACTGCGATGTAAAGCCAAGCCAATACCCTACCCACCTTGCCAAAAAATAAAATAAAAATCCAATACCCCCTTGCCGAAAAAATAAGAGGGGGAAAATTAAGCCATTCACCCGATGACCAATTCTATAGACCAAATGGTGGGTATCATGTCCCCAATCAAAGACAAGACATATTTCATAAAAAATAAAATAAAAAACAATAAGAAAATTACAAATAATCCAAATTAATTATTAATTGCTTGGATTTGGGGCAGACACATTTGTTAACGAGAAAAAGATTAAGATAATCCTCCCTCCTGGTTAGACAAAGGCAACAACCGCCCCTCTCCATAATCTATAGTAGGTTGCACCGTCTCCATCCATCCACGCCTGCACACAGACACAGTCCCAACTTTAAACAAATCACACGGTTCATACTTGGCGGCGACTCTCTTTCTCTATGGTTCACAATTCGCCACGTGTCACAAAGTTCGCCCGTGTTTGGTTACACGTATGGGAGTGTCGGTGCGACGGTGGTGGCGTCAGCTTGTAAATAAGTCAGTTTTTCTGGGGACAATTTCTCCTGTACAGATAATTGTTTAATTCTTCTTGGCTTTTATCCTTTTTGTTATTTCAATGGCCAAAACCTTTTAATAAGTAGAAAATTAAGGTGGCCAAAACAAAAAAACCAAGAGCATCAAAGCAAATAAAGTTTTATTCTTGTCTTGCCGAGTTGTTGTCAATAAGAATAGCAAATAATCGAAGCTACATATAAAATTTTGCAATGCTCCAAAGTGTATTATTTTCTTTTGATACTCCTAGATATGCTTAGCTTCACCAATTCTTATCTTTTTACTTTATTTTATGAAAATGTATCATATATATTTATTTATTGGAAAAGTAAGAAATTTGGAGATGAAAAGGGTTTTTTTAAAATAATTATTTAACATATATGAATGAAACAAGACACAGCAAATCAATCCGAAATTTACTTCATCAATAAAGTCTTACGGACCAATGTGAAAATCAGAAAGAAGGCACCCTAACATGATCATAGCGCAATGATTTGATTATTCCTATAAATAAGTTAATTTAAATAAACAATACATGATTATAATGGCGGAAAATAATTAGAAAATAATATTAATAGTTGAAGGCTTCAATTCAAGTGAAGAGAGAACGACTTTTCCGGAAATAAAAAAAAAAAAAAAGAAATTTATTTTAGGGTCACCAAAAATATTTTAAAAAATAAAAGTAAAAATGAAACACGTGTGCGACGGGGCTTACTTACTGCCATCACCGTTAAACCACAAAGTTAGCGCCGACCCTCCACGTTAATCTCCCACGTGTGTGACGTAAACCTCCCTAATTAGCAGGACAATGATTACGTCGCTTTTTAGTTCCCAAACTACCCCCGGTTGGACGCGTGTCGAGATACCAAAGAAGGTACGAAACTTTTCTATACCACTTCTGCAAGTACCGGAACTAACCCTGGTTTGGTATGACCCAAAGTTTCGTTTCCGTGTTATTTTAACCTTTAAGACAGCTTTGGCGGCTTTCGTAGTTTCTTTCTTTCCCTTTCTTCGCTTTCTTTTTCATTTTTATTTCTTACAAATTCTTATAGAAATAATTATTTATGCATAATTATGTACCCATATTTTTTTTTTTGGTAATTATTATGTACCTATATTTAATCATTCATTCACATATATAATAATGAGGTGCCAACAGCTCGGTTAGCTAGCTGGCTCTGGCCACTTGATTTTTATACTCTTCCTTTTTTTTTTTTCCTCTTCCTTCTCTTCTTCCTCGAGTTCTCCAGAACCAGAGAAGAGAGAGAGAGAGAGAGAGAGAGGGGACTTGTAACTCCTTTGATTCTGATTTCACGTTGATTTTTCCGGTACCCACTTTGGGAAGATCTCAGGCCTGAGCTTGTTGGGTTTTTGTTTTTTTGGCAGTATTTTTCCTAGAAAATTTCTGTCAGCTCTCTTTGACTTGAGTACCGCATTTGGCTGAAGAGATCTATAATCTGAGGCCTGGTAGGTTCTGTCGTCTGTGTTTTCTGTGTTGCAGCCGTTTCAGTGATTTTTGTACTTTTTTCTTCAAGTACAAGGCTTTAACTTTACAGGTGAATGGGTTGGGTCTGTTTCTTCTGCCAGACGCCATTGATTCTTGTGTAAAGCAAAACAAAGTTATGGTTTTTCTCTCCACATGCTCTGTTTACGCGTCGCGGTTGATGTGACGCTGGGGTCAGAATCAGAGAGTTCTAAAGCAGGGTCTGGTCTAGCAAGCTTTTCTCTCAATTGGGTATCTATAATTTTTGACGCAGATCGACAGGAAGAAAAAATCTGAGAGATCTCTCCAAGAATTACAGAGAAAAAGATGATGAGAATGAAGACGAAGACAACAGGGGTGGCACTGTCAGAGTTGAATGGAAGTTCTGGCAGTGGCGGAAATGAGTCGGGGCCGGCCGAGTGGGAGCTTAGACCAGGAGGAATGTTGGTTCAGAAGCGAAATCCAGACTCTGATCGGAACATGGCCCCTCCACCGACAATTAGAGTTAGGGTCAAATATGGGTCCATTTACCATGAAATCAATATTAGCGCTCAATCTTCCTTTGGTAATTTGTACTTCTCAATTTCGTAACTTTATTATGTTTCTAAATTTGTCTATTTTAGTATGAGCAAATTACATTATGTAATGTTGGTTGTGCAGGGGACTTGAAGAAAATGTTGGCTGGACCGACGGGTTTGCATCATCAAGATCAGAAGCTGATATTCAAAGACAAGGAGAGGGACTCAAAGGCTTTTCTTGACATGTCAGGGGTGAAGGACCGATCGAAGA